AGCTTTTCGCTTTTTAAACCAAACTTTTACAGGTCAAAATTCAAAATCAATGAATGTTTTATGTTTTAACACAATTTCCTAATTACAGATTACTATGATAACATTTAGATTGGTTTCACTCTAATTACTGACTGACCAAAGTTAAAGAAAATATATTGAAAAGGAGCTAAAGAAACACTATTAGAAATAAATGAAAAACAAAAGCAATATGAATATGAAAGATGCCATGAACAAATGTGTACATATTCACTATTTTTACAATATTATCAAAGCATTTAACTGGACACCAAAATCTGAGTATTGAGTGAACACATGCTGTCAAAAGGAAAAAAAAAAAAAAACACACCACAAGATGGCCTTGCCACTATTTTGCTCATTTACATAACATTACAATTGTTAATCATTGCAGTGAATAAATGGTAATGTGCATGTGTTGACAGTGTGTAGATATCCAACTCGATTCTTAGACATGACAAAAGTAGTTTTAAGGATCACATGATCATCATAGCAAGAGCTACCAAGTGTCGGGATTTTATCTGCTTATGTAAACAAAGAGAAATAAGCAACAATTATTTCAATGTTCATCAATAAACAAAAGATGTTATGTATTAATGACACAGAACTGAATAAATGAAGCTGATGATGGGAAACCCATCTACAGGATAATGAGGATAAAAGAGGAAACATCCCTGAGTTATCCAGTTTTAGTTCAGAATGAAGTGCATTTCAGAATGTTTGACCTTTTTCCTTATAACCAAAATGTGGTGGTAAAGTTAATGAACAATAACAAGGCAAGAAAACCAATTGCTTCATGATGTCAGAATTCTGTAGATGAGGATGAAAACCTAACAAACAACAATTACCCAAAAATATTACAGCAATGACTGAAAAACATGATTAGGCCCGTAAAGTACGGCGTTTATAAATGGTCATGATTGTGAGTGATGGACAATGCTACTGTATACTGTCATACATAAAAAAGCCCTCTAAACTGGCCAAAGAACAAAACTAAACTAAACTAAACTAAGTGCAGTCTATAATCCCAAGCTTTAAACAGTCCATTGTGAGATAAAAGAGGTGTCTTACAAGTATCAGTAGCCCTCTGAAATCTGTTAATGCAAAGTTATAAGTGTAAAATGGGATGACACCTTAAGGAAACCAGATGTTTTTGGAGTGCACACACTGAATTTGAATATTCATAATCTTTGATGTATAGAAAGTACCATCTACAATGAATACATAGTTAAACCCTGATCAATAAGCATCATTAACCACTTATTTGAAACGGACTCTTAATTTATGCAGAAAACAATATCATTAAAATAGATCATAGAAAAATCTAATGATGCTATTCTGCATAAAAAGAAACGGCGACAACCCCATGTCCTAACTCTTCTCTTCATCTAGATCAATATCTTCCTCTTCCTGTCCTTGCTCTCTGACCTCACAGCCACCGGAGTCACGTGACTCTTCTACTTCTTCAACATCCACTTCCTCTTCCTCTCTCTCCTCATAGGAGGATTCCCCCTCATCTCTGTCATTCTCTTCTGAGCCTAAGAGAAAAATTATCAGTCATGATGATTTAGTAATAAAATCCACTGTTTTTAATAGCTTTGACAGACTTATTGTAAAACACTATATATTAAACACTGACATGATTGTGAAAAGGAAAACCTCACCTCCAACTTGGTCATCATCTTCATCCTCCTGCCCCAAGTTTAGGCTCTTCTCCTCATCTTCATCTGAATCGGAGATGATCACACACTCATCTCCATTATTGCTGCCCTGACATTTGGGAGCGCTGCTGGACAATGGAAATTTGTCAAAAAAATAAATAAAAAAAGCAAAACATACACTTTGAAAAATCTGGATGTTTCTGGCTAGCGATTACCTGCCATTCTCTCGTGGCTCCCAGAGTGGAGTCAGATAGTACCTCAAAGGATTTCTGTACAGGTCATCCTTCAGGATCTAGAGCCAAAGGAATGAGAGTTAATTTTTTTTAACATCATCCTTTCCGGTGTTTAAGGATTTTGATTTGGCCTGTTCATACAGCTCTTTTTCCTGCACCTAACATCATGAGAGATGTACCTGTGCGATGTCATCCCTTCCTGGATTGCTGTGGTCACTGAACCAATGGAAGAAGCTCTGGTAGACTCCCTGTGATGTTCGACGTGGTTCTCCACTACCGACCAGATTCTGCCCTCTGTGCCACAAAATTGGGTTTGAGAACGACACCGGAGAGCCTGCGCAAAAAGGAAAGCACATGCAGATAAAGCATGATTACCCTTTTCAAAAAATTAAAACTCAGAATAAATAAATGTGTCTCAGAGTAATCCGTTTCACATTCCTGAAAAGAAGGTGACCGTGATAGTGGTCAGCTCACCTCCCATACCAAGATGAAGTTCTTTCACTATCATTTTGTTTTGAAAAAAGGGATTTCGCCGGAAATGGAAGCAAATGCGGTATCCAAGTTTGTTGTTCTTGAAAGACTCAATCTGTTGAATGATGAGCATATTAAACAAATATAGATAATTTGCAAGATTTGAAAACAGGAAAAAGAAAAAAAACCTGAAAAAATGTATTACCTCTAAATTAGTCATGTAGCTTAGAGCATCTTCATCAGTCTCGTCGATTTGCGCTGATAGAAGTGGGTGATTCAGAAGCTGATTGGCTTTAAGTTAAGCACATAACGTAAATAAAGACAAAGATCTGGAATCCACAATCATTTGGTTAAAAGACATTTGACGCAAATGGAAATACAAAATGAACATAGAAGTTTCAAGCATGATCAGTTAAGATGCTAGGGATTCTGGGCCCATTGCACAGAATTTGCTATAGGGCCCCCTCAAAATTCCAAAGGACATCGTTATGGGCCCCTCTCAGCCTCTGGGCCCCATGCACTCTGTCCCCCTTTTCCCCCGGTTGTGACACCTTCAAGGTGACAGTTAATATCTTCAGGCATTGTAAAGAATGCATCTCATAACATCCACCTAAAAATCTAATTGGATGCCCACACCTTTTGACCAATTAAATTTAAATTGGTGTGTGTTATATATATATATATATATATATATAAAAACTCAACTTCAAATGGCCTTGATACTTAAGTTGTCCACCTGAACGTCATGCACACAGTTTTAAAGGATACAGCAGTGACCCAGAAGCCTGGGATGGCTTGAGTGATGGCGCTGCGCTGGTCCAGGTGAGGGCGTCGCTGGCGGCTCAGTCTCAACTCCAGGCGTTGATGCAGACGCGCGCCTTTTTTCTCCAGCGCATCCAGCCGCATCTGCACCTGTGCGAGCAGCGCCACGGACTGCCGCACCTCCGGGGCCATCTTCACCGACACTATGGCACACTCACCGTCTTCGTTATCCTCATTATCAGAGGCGACAGACGAGCTAGCCGTGGAGGAAGAGCCAGAAAGGGAGTCGTCATCCTCCTCCTCCTCCTCCTCCTCCTCTTCTTCACCATCATCATCATCCACAAACGATGCCTGCTCTGGATCTTCTCTGTCCTCGCAGAGCAGCAGGGATGAGGAGCTGTCAGCAGCGGCTGCCTCCGTCCTTCTCTCGCTCTGAGAGCAACCGGGACGATTAGACTTATCCCTAGATTTCTCTCGACTCGCTTTTTTGGACGAACAGGCCATTTCTTTACAGTCTTCGTCAACGTCTCCACGGGTCAGACTGGCAAGCGCTTCTGCTGCGGCGATAGCAGCGGAATCTGACGGCTGGCGCCCGCTCTCATCTCCACCAGCCTGTCCTGTGTTCTCCTTCGCGGCAGATCCATGTTTTGGCTCATCATTGCCAACTTTCTCAGGTCCTGCATCTTCATGGGAGTCATTCCTTGGTTCCTCATCACTTACTTTCGCCTGCTTGGGCAGCGTGGACTCAGGTTCTCCACTTGGACTTGCACTTCTTTTCGTCTGGTTAGTTTCGGACGGCTGACTGTTGTCCGAGTTTGTACTCATGATACTGACTGGTTGTAACTTTGTCAGACGTATATGATGATCTTAAAACGGATTTTAAATTATAATGGTGTTAACTGTGCGGGTCTCTTTCCAGAGCCCGCGTTCGCATTACAGCACTGCCAAAATTCAAGTCTGCGCAAATGTCTGCAGGCCTAGGTAACGTTAGCTTCCTAACGCTCAATGAGGCTAGTTTAAATTCTCGCTCACGGTCGCATATCGAATATTTCCGTTTGTATTTAGACACGGTATTCGTAATATTGAGTTACTTTTCCCTTAAAAGTCACAATTCGCCTAAAAATGTCCCGTTCTTTTGTATTTGTTTACAGTTTGCCCTTCCGTTCGCCATTTATCAGAGGCTTTACATACGAGCGCGAAAACAAAGCTCTGATTGGCTGAAATGCACCGCGCAAAAATCTCTCGGCCAATCGTAGACGCTGTACTGCAGTTGACGACGAGCCATTTCACGGAGTACATCACCATTGCGTTGCATTTACGCACCGTGAAATATTTCTGACTGGGACTGTTTTGTATTATATTTTAGATTATAATAAGCAGAACTTGACGTTGCGTAGTGTATATTGTACCAGAAGAACAGTCTTACAGTACTGGATTGCATTGCAATTTGGACATTTATTTGGATATATGATATTTTAAGACATTAAACGTACATTTATTGTTTAACAGCATAGTTATCAATATTAAATTAGCACCATATTAAATGTATTTACATAGGATGCCATTAATATCAACATTATTATTGATGTACATTTGTAGGCATTATAAATATTGATGTACTTGTACTTTTTAAATCGGTACATTTAAATGTAAGAAGGATAAAGAAAAGTTTGCTGAACACCCAGTTCTTAACTTTATTTTTGGATTATGTAAACTTCATATTGATTCCTTACGCTTTTTTTTTTTTAAATGAAAACCATAATTAGGTCTAAAATAGACTGCTAGCTATACATTTAAAAACAACCATTTTAAACAATCATATTTATTATTCTTACAAAAAAGTTTTTAATGTTAGTGGTTGAAATGTTGTTGCAATCTCTTAATGAGAGTCCATTTGAGCCTTACTTCTGATAAGTTTCACTTTGTGGAGTCACAGGAAACAGGTGAAAAGGTGTCATCAAGCCCATATCCTGGTCCCTGGAGGAAAAAGTGGTGCAACTGCAATAGATCAATGTCTTATGATTCTCCCACTTCCAACAATACACTTTATTAGATCCATCCCAAGTAGTTTTTTTTAATCTTCTTTAACTTTTTTTAATCTTCTTTTACTTTAACTTCTTGTATTTGTACTTACTTGTACATATAACCAACTATCAACCAGCAGTGTGACATGCAGTAGTAAAGTACAGTGTTACTGTCACCCCTATGAAGAAGCAAAGACTGTTTACCTGTGAAACTTTTGTCCTTTTCTTCTTAGAAATTCCTCTTCATCCACAGTCCAAACAGAACCTTTCCTGCCTTCAACGCGCACAAAGCACTTATGAAGACTGAGGTTATGCCGAACAGCGTTCTACGCACAGGCAAAGATACGTTAGTTACTTGTTAAATCATGTTACATCTAATAGGTTGCACCTATTAGGAATAAGATTCACGTAGTCTTCCCTAACATAAAACCACTGTAATTTCACAGCCAGGTCATCACTTTCTATCATTAACATACAAGTTGTGAAAGTTTTCTGGTATATAAACCGGAGGCTGTGGCTTTCAGGATTGGCTTGTGTGCAGTGAGTCATGGAATGACAAATATAATAGGTTTACAGTACAAATACTGCATCTTATACCTTCCATGTGGCAGTGTTGTGACGAAAGTAGAAAAACATGCGGGTAAACCAATGATAGATTTCATTCAGAGTAAGCTGCTTCTCAGGGGACTCCAGGATCGCCTAACATAAAAGACAGCTTTTGTGTGACTGACAGGAAATGAAAAGGTAATATACAGGATGTTTAACTCAGCAGTACTTACCCATCGTATTATGGAGGCATAGGTGAAAGGTGGCCTAATGTTTGTGAACTTATAATACTCAAAACTGGGGATAATCCCTATCGCCAGAAAAAAAAATGAAGAAAATAATAACATCATATACCGTTGTGTTGTATGTGGAGATGAAATATGAATGACTGGTAATCTTACATTTAAAGGGGTCATATGATGTTTTACAAAGCTCATCGTTCTGAAAAGCGAGGTGTGCTCTGATTGGCCAGCTATCCAGTGCGTTGTGATTGACCGAATACCTCAAGCGTATGACGGAAATGTTACACCTCTTACCATACTGTGATGCCCTGTCCGGCCGGAGCGACGAGACAAAAACTTTCAAACCCATTATAAACGAGGCATTTGTTGCATCCAGTGGGGACATAATTACTGATTATAATGACTTATACTGTCTTTTTACGCGTTGCATCGCGCCTCGTAAACATAAAACCCATTTCTGCATTTGTGAACGGAGAAATGACAAACAACAAGTGCGACTCTACACTGCTCAAAACTCACGTTTGATTTGTCAGTGGCAAATTCTTTAAATATAAAAAACGTACTTACAGTCTGTGAGTCAGAACAGCCGGCATTGTAGTCTACTCTACCAGGATCGGGAAACACATAAAATGTGCTGCACACATCTGAATATTTGGGTTGAACTGTTCTGGAACAGTGTTGTAAATACAACTTAACCACTGATTTCTAGTCGTGTCCTCTTTTGGAAGGCCAAACAAAGTAGTTTTGCTTTCACAACGAAACACAGCATCACACACGGCGGGCTACAGTGAGCGGAGGCCGGCTTGAGTGAGCGACAGCCTGTGGGCTTGAGAAGGCGCGGCCGGTGGATTCGACGAAGGAGCTTCTGGCAGAACAAAGAACAAAACATTTCACTACAACACTGTTAGAAAACAAACAAGTACTTGTATAAGTCAGCGCATGGAAGCAACCCTGTACGTCACTTGAACATCACATTGAACTGATACTGTAGCACATGTGACGACCCCGGGCTGGACTCTGCTTCGTCCACGGTGAAAGCCGATCCGGCGATCGACAGCGCAAAGTTGATGTATTTCCTCAGCGACCAGCACGGATCAGCTC